TTATTTTTCCACGGCCTGAATTCAGAATCTCCTCCACCTTGGCTTTAATAGCTTCTTTTCCACCGTCTCCCTTTGGGCAGTTTTACCTTCTTTTTTTTTTCAAAGAGCCGCCGCAGCCTATTGGCACAGAGTAATAAGCGCAAGGTAAAATAAGAAGTGAATTAATTCAGCCAAATTTGTATTCCACATAAAGTGTGTAAGTGCGGGGCTGACATGAAACCCCGAGGGCTGAGCGAATGAAGTGAGTAAAGCCACACACGCAAACCTCATCACTGTCACCGGGGTTTGTCTTTCACATGGGATGGAAATTTATTTTGCTTCATCAGAGCACCGTATGAAATATTAATAATTTGTTTGGCTAGGTTCAATTGAAGTACTGACTCTGGTTTGTCAGTTCGTGACTAGAAGTTAACACAGAGTGGTGTCTCATAAATCACGGGCAATGCTTACTCTTGTTTTTGTCTATCCATCTGGCAGTTTTTTTTTTTTTTTTTGTTAACAAATGATGAAATCATTCATTCATTCATTCATTTATTCATTCATTCATTCATTCATTCATTCATTCATTCATTCATTTATTCATTCATTCATTCATTCATTCATTTCCCTTTGGCTTGGTCTTTGGTTCAGAGGTCACCACAGAGAAATGAACCGCTAACTATTCTATCATATGTTTTATCCAGCAAATGCCCTTCCAGCTCCCATACGTGTGTACGTCTAATTTAGTTCATCAATTCTCCTATAGCGCATGTGTTTGGGCTGAGGGGGAAACCGGAGCACCTGAAGGAAACCCACATCAACACAGGAAGAACATGCAAACTCCACAAAGAATTGCCAACTGACCCAGCCAGGGCTTGAACCAGTGACCCAGTGACCTTCTTGCTGCGACAGTGCTAATCACTGAGCCTACGTGCCACCCCCAATAATGAAATCATGAACACAGAAATAACAATAATATTAATAGTAATAGTAATAATAATAATAATAATAATAACAACAATAATAATAAGTTTATTGCATCTTACTAGGGAAATGTTTCTTATTTTCAAGTCTAAATTGAGGGACTAAAACTAAAAACCATTTTAAATGCACAATATAAAAGAAAACAAGAACACAAAAAAGGGGAAAAAGACTAAGTTGAAATATAAATATAAAATAATATAGTACTAGATATACAAATGTATATAAAATAATTATTAAAATAAAAATGACTGCATATCAAGAAATAATAGTACATGCTTACTATTATTATAAAAAATAAATTCATAATATTCATAATAATAATAATAATTATTATAATTATAATAATAATAATAATAATTATTATTATTATTAT